GTTTTCAGGACAATTGGAGAAAAGCTTTTTCCACCGTGAGCTTCAAAGCGGCAGGCGGTCCAGAGAAATCTCCACCTGGGCTAATGTTAAACTTAGGCCTGACTTCACTGACCACACCTCTTGGGACTAACTTTTCAAATCGCTGTGGTTTCCACATTTCTTGGACCCCAGACATGAAAATCACATCGACGCGTTCGGCCATTTGTCCTCTTGCTCACAAAATCATCGTTTAGCCACCAACTCTTAATTTAAGCCCTTGAAATGAGCACCCAATAGGGAGACGTTTTCCCCTTTTTTCTCATTGTCTGCCTCTGTGTGATTGCCCTGATTGTCCTCACCTGTGGCTCGTTAGTCTCAGCTGTCTCTCATTCCCCTGTGTATTTTTAGTCTCTGTGTTTCTTCCCTACTTTTACTCCTAATCTTCTACTTCTCCTACTTTTTCTTCATCATCTTCTGCTGATTCTTCTTCATTCAGCAGTGTTTTGCAAAACATTTCAGCCGTCAGCATTCACACGCATTTTCCGCAGGTAAATGCAATTTCTAGTTATTATTATTATTCTACTTCCGTGCGTTTTTTGGACCGCTTCTCCTCCTAGAGCGTTTGTGCGACGTCCACCATTCAAGTATCAAACTATGCGGCCTCTTCGGGACATGATGGCTATGACTTTTGTAGTTTTTACTACTTTTATTTTTAAAGTTATTTAAGTTTTTGTCCAAAATTTGGCCCCATTGAAATGAATGGGAAAATTTTCAAAATTTTCACGTTTTTCCCAGCCTCATAACTTTGGCTGTGTTCTGCCTAGAGACTCCATTTTTGCTTTAAAATGTTCACACACTTGTCCTCTATTCATATTACTTTCACTTGTCTTGCTACCTTTTATACTTTTCAAACTGTACCTCCAACTGTTGGGTGAAGTTTTTAACTTTTCTCACATTTTAGAGTGAGTGACATCATCAGTAGAGTGCGACAGAGTTCTGAAATAGTTTCAAAATCTCCCGAACAAATTGCTCTCCTGACTACAATCTTTACCCCACACACGTAAATTTACCCTCAAAATGTAGGAAAACTTGTCCTCTCTGACATATTGAGTTTTCAGGCCAATTGGAGAAAAGGTTTTTTCACCGTGAGCTTCAAAGCGGCAGGCGGTCCAGAGAAATCTCCATCTGAGCTAATGTTAAACTTAGGCCTGACTTCACTGACCACACCTCTTGGGACTAACTTTTCAAATCGCTGTGGTTTCCACATTTCTTGGACCCCAGACATGAAAATCACATCGACGCGTTCGACCATTTGTCCTCTTGCTTACAAAATCATCGTTTAGCCACCAACTCTTAATTTAAGCCCTTGAAATGAGCATCCAATAGGGAGACATTTTCCCCCGTTTTCTCATTGTCTGACTGCGTTTAAGCAGTATCTTCCACTTTGCCCCATTGAAATGAATGGAAAAATTTTCATGTTTTTCTCAGTCTCATAACTCTGGCTGTGTTCTGCCTAGAGACTCCATTTTTGCTTTAAAATGTTCACACACTTGTCATCTATCCATATTACTTTCATTTGTCTTGCTACCGTTTATACTTTTCAAACTGTACCTCCAACTGTTTTGTGATGTTTTTAACTGCTTTCACATTTTTTGAACTCTGTCCCACTCGAGTGACATCATCGCTCGAGTGGGACAGAGTTCTGTTTTTGAGCGGGAAACACAGTGTGTACGTGATTGGCCGAAGTTACTGTTGCTATGTGACATATTTGTTTGCCAAGACCCAGAGCCTTGTATAACAGCGGTCAGGGTTACCCTAACCCTACCCTTGAAATGAGCACCCAATAGGGAGACGTTTTCCCCTGCTGTTTCCCTGTGTGATTGCCCCGATTGTCCTCACCTGTGGCTCGTTAGTCTCAACTGTGTCTGATTCCCCTGTGTATTTAGTCTCTGTGTTTCTTCCCTACTTTTACTTCTACTCCTAATCTTCTACATCTACTATTCCTTCAGCTGTTTCTGCTGATTCTTCTTCATTCAGCAGTGTTTTGCAAAACATTTCTACTGTTTCTTCATCTTCTACTACTGTTTCTTCATTATAAGATGTTGAGAAAAATCAAAGAAAATAAAGTATAAAGTTAAAATTCAACAAGTTGCCACTGTTTTGACTTTACTCAAACGTCATTTGGATTGAGCCTTTATAATAGCTCAATATATTCACTACTTATATTCATTGCCAAAAAAAAAGTTCAAATAATTAAAAAAAAAAAATCTCTTAAGACTATTTGTTATTATTTATTTTTAACTTTGTGGTAAGTTATTACGTTTTTCTGAAAACCCATACGCAAAAATGTCTTATCAGAAGAATGGCTAATCATCTTTATTAAATGCTGTCTTACGCCCCACTCCCTCCGGCTGCACTATTCCATCATGACACTCAGGTCACTGCACTGCGCTTGTTTAAGGGAATGATTGACGCGGCATCACAGGTGACAGACAGTGAGAAAAGAGAGGCTCACTTCAGCTGCATGAGTGCGAGATAGAAACGGATTTTTTTTATTCGCAATTAACGGAAATTAAGTTTCGCCGAAATAACAACATCCTTGTGCAGATTTGTAGGAAATTAAAAGTCAAGATTTGTCGAGTCTGTCTCCAAGAGGAGAAGAAAATAACTTTTAAAATGCTTGTTTTTTCAAAGGAGCTCGGATCGATTGTTTCCGATGCGTTTCTGGAACTCAGAAATCTAAACGCTCATCGGCTTTTGTGACGAAGATGAGGAGAAATACAGAGATGGAGGATGAAGAACAATACAGATACGGAGAAAACACTGAAAATATGTGTCTAACAGATTAGGAACCGATTTTAGTTAGATAGTATTAATTTTGTTTCAATTATCTTTTTTATTTTATTTGATTAATGCAAACAATAACTATTTTGCACGTATTGCAGTAATGACATCAACCAATAAAAATGTGTTAAACATTTTAATAATAATAATGTGTTAAACATTTTAATAATAATATAATAAATTTCGTTTATTCTGAGTGCCATTGAACGCCTCGCACGCAGACTCGTATCAACGTCAGCGCATCAAAGAGTTACTTGTCATTGGATTTTCTAGCGGTAAGTACTGACAATCCGTCTCTCCTTAATATTTGAGGCTTTTACGGTAAAAATACATGTATGGTGTTTTAGAAATAGGGCATAATATTCTCTAACTATTACCCACTTTTACCATGGGGGGGAAAGGGAGAGTGAAATATTTTATATTACAACCGGAGAGTCCTACTTTAGCTAGTTAGCTTGTCGCTAGCTGTCAATGACTCAACAGAAAGCACAATATTACCCGTTTAGAGCGGTGAATATTTCTCAACACCTTATTTCATCAGTTTAGTATGTGTTATAACACACTGCCAGCTACAGACCAACTACCCTTGAATTCCTTAAGACAAAACTACAAACGAAGTTGATGGTTGTGGTCATGACCGTGTCTTAACAGCACACGAGCGTTTTATGTCTTGTTCTGTCGCGGATGACCGCACCTCTCTCCTTAATATTTGAGGCTTTTACTGTAAAAATACACGTTTGGTGTTTTAGAAATAGGGCATAATATTCTCTAACTATTACCCACTTTTACCATGGGGGGGAAAGGGAGAGTGAAATATTTTACATTACTGTGTAAAATAGAAACAGGTCGTCGCGCCACGTCGCGTGCTGTTAGGACAGCGCTGTGTCACTAGCGTGCGCTGCCTCTTGAGCAGTAGCAGCATATTGAACCCATATTGAATATTGCCCATTATAACCGCTGATACGTCTTACCGACCGTTCTGGTTTTTATAATGCAAATAACTCTGTTTATGTTGAACTAAAATTATTTTTTTCCTTCCCTTCCTCCCTCCTACACCACTGTGCCATCCACGGCCACCTCCTCCACTTTTACAACTGACTGGACTCCTTCCCCCCCAATCAGAACAGTAAGTATAGACGCATGAGTCGTGACATTGCCATCACTGAATGGAAATCTTTGTATCTCCATAGCAGACATGTTCCTGGGACGTCAAGTTACACTCATGGCTGCTGTGGGAATATGCTCTAATAATTTATAGAGTCATGTCAGACCCGATTAACAAAATTGTGTCATATTAATGAATTAAAAAGCAAAGCCATTTCATTGTGTCTTGTAACATTAGTAAGCACTATTTTTTTTTTTTTTTTTTTTTTTTTTACAAAACTACTTTTTCTCTATCTCCAACTGAGTGTTTGACAGGCATTTAGTTGACCCAATTTAATGCATATAACAAATTCAGATAAAAAAAATCCACCTCGAAACTACTCGGATTGAGCTGTGACATGTTTCTGTCACATAACCTGTGTTAACAGAGCATTTTTCAAAATACTCATGTATTTTTATATTTTTTTTGTCTTTTCAGATCATCTTTGACACCCTACACAAATCTACGGTAATAACTTACTGCCTTAAAAACAAATTCCTGATTACGGGTAATATGATCCACTAAATGTCAGTGTTTTAAGTACATTTAAGTAGCTGTTGGCTAGGTGTTACAGTTCACCTCAAGTATTTAGTTTACATAAACATACATAAATCCACAAGTAATATGAAATAAAGACAACAATTATCCTCCTTGTCCGTGTTAGAGACTTGTCAGGTGTTACCTGATGTAACACAGGTGTTTCCAGGGGAAAGGTTTTAAGGTGTTTCTACAATTAAACAAAATATCTCTCTGTCCCCTTCTCTAACTGCAGACCGTTGTTGACAACTTCTCCAGCAAACCCTGAAATGTAAGTTCACATTACTTTATTTTGTGTGGCCACAACCAGTAATCACATATTATTAAGAATGTAAACAATTGAAAAGTTGCCGTTAAACAATTCCCTATGTGCCCACAAATTCTACACTTTGATTTTAAATAAAAGTTGGAATGAGCTGTGAGGTTAACTTTACAAGATATTAACTTTTCACTTTTTCCCCAAATCTCTCCACACCTATTGTCTTTCATCTGACAGCAGACCATCGCCGTGAGGTAGCCAGTCTGCAGTAAGTTTACACACATGTACATACAGTCAGTCTGAATGTAATACACACTTTTATTAAGTGGTAGTGGAACTTGAGGATGTCTGAAGTCGTATTTACAGCTCTGGTAATTTGGCTTCAGTCAAATTCAAGAGCCTGTATCTGAATAAGGTTGATCCTATCCAGTAGGGGTGTAACGGTACACAAAAATTTCGGTTCGGTACGGCACAGTAAAGGCTGAAAGTGTGAGGTGTTGGTGATTTGAAATGAAACTAAAATCTCTCTCTTTGTCCCCTCATTTCATTCTCTGTTGGTCACAGACTCAGTGGTAAGTTCACACAATAAATTAGACGATGCGTTGAATTTCACACTCTTTTTTTTCATTACACACAGTAAAATATATCAACAGTATATATAAAATGTATTTTAACAACTACCTGATGTCTGTTTCCTTTTTGTCTTACAGGTGTGCTGATCCCCAGCCAGCTCCCCAGCTGATCTCCATCTCTACCTCTATCTCGTATTCTATCTTTATCTCTCCCCTCTATTACTTCTCTCTATCTCATCTCTTACATCTATCTATATTGAAGGCTCCCTATCTTTTCTGTCCATCTACCCCTCTATCTATTTTGAGAAACTCTATCTTGCTTTGTCTATCCATCTACCCCTCTATCTATTTTGAGAAACTCTATCTTGCTTTGTCTATCCATCTACCCCTCTATCTATTTTGAGAAACTCTATCTTGCTTTGTCTATCCATCTACCCCTCTATCTATTTTGAGAAACTCTATCTTGCTTTGTCTATCCATCTACCCCTCTATCTATTTTGAAGGCTCTCTATCTTTTCTATCCATCTACCCCTCTATCTATATTGAAGGCTCCCTATCTTTTCTATCTCTCTACCCCTCTATCTATTTTGAGAAACTCTATCTTGCTTTGTCTATCCATCTACCCCTCTATCTATTTTGAGAAACTCTATCTTGCTTTGTCTATCCATCTACCCCTCTATCTATTTTGAGAAACTCTATCTTGCTTTGTCTATCCATCTACCCCTCTATCTATTTTGAAGGCTCTCTATCTTTTCTATCCATCTACCCCTCTATCTATATTGAAGGCTCCCTATCTTTTCTATCTCTCTACCCCTCTATCTATTTTGAGAAACTCTATCTTGCTTTGTCTATCCATCTACCCCTCTATCTATTTTGAAGGCTCCCTATCTTTTCTATCCATCTACCCCTCTATCTATTTTGAGAAACTCTATCTTGCTTTGTCTATCCATCTACCCCTCTATCTATTTTGAAGGCTCCCTATCTTTTCTATCCATCTACCCCTCTATCTATTTTTAGAAACTCTATCTTGCTTTGTCTATCCATCTACCCCTCTATCTATTTTGAGAAACTCTATCTTGCTTTGTCTATCCATCTACCCCTCTATCTATTTTGAAGGCTCCTGCAGGAAGACATATTTGGAGTGGCTGTTCCCTTTCTGCAGACTGACAGTTCTACCACAGGAGCATTCATCTGAACAGCTACAATGCCAAGGAAGAGCAAGAGATCTCAAGCCCAAAGGCTTCGCTGGCAGAAGGTAGATGATATCAACTGTGCAACTGTTTGTTTTTCTGAGAGCAGTGGGGAGGTAAAGAGATCCACAGTGCCTGATTCCATGAGTATGATACAAGAAGGGCAAATGTCATCATGTGTACCACAAGTATCTTATGCAGACATGGTGAAGAGAGTATGTGATCCAGGTGTAGCAGGCCCTTCTCAGTCTTGGCAAGTAAACAATGTAGGTCCAAGTGATGAGCAACATGTACCACAGGTATCTCAGGCAGGCATTGTGAAGAGAGGCAGTAGCACTGATCCATATACCGCAGGCCCTTCTCATTCTCAGGTATCTCGTGCAGATATTTTAAACAGCCATGACCAGTTTGTAGCAGGTCCACCTCATGCAGCCAGTGTAAACACTGCAGCTGATGAAGAAAGTGTCAGTGCATCCCAAAGCCAGGGTTCTTTTATCTACAGTTCTAGAACCAGAAATAAGCAATGTACCTGCAACTCACTCACATTTCTTGCATTTCTGTATGAGAATGAAAACCTCACCAGAGCTGACCTGGATCTTGTTTTGGACCAAGGTAACGCGATGTACACACAGGTTAGAAAAAGGGTTCCTAACCACATTCATTTGACCACGGATGAACTTCCTGACTCTGTTCCTGCACGCCGTTGCACACACATTGTGGACATGTCACAACTTTCCAGATACGGCTCATTTGGAGATCCTCATCCTGGAGCAGTAGATTACTTTCTTGACCTTGAGTCCGGATTGTCCTGCTTGTTGTCGGATGTGCAGTATGCGTTGCTGTTGATGAGTTCGTTGTGCATTGCAGTATTCAGAACCAAGTCAGGCAGATACGGTTTCTTTGATCCACATGCTAGGACAGCCAAGGGTTTGCCTCTAAACCAGCGTACACCCACTCCCGGGACAGCGGTTATGGTAACATTCATACGTCTGAGTGACATGATTGACAGGCTCATCAAGTATCACAAGATGTTGGGCACAGCAGAATCCTGTAACTACGAGTTAAAGCCTGTTGTATTTTACGATGTCAACACTGTCAACCTGAGTAATGTCATCCCAGCTACAGATATTCAGCCCACAGCTCACACAGACTCAACCACTCTGTTCGATGATGCAACTCAAAACAAATCGACTGCAAGTGCTGCAACAAACGCTGATCTAACTGAAAACACTGTTCATGACGTGTTTGCCGACATGGAAACTGAACCAGAACCACTGAGCCAAAGGAGCCCCGTCACAGTAAATGATGTTTGTGAGAAGTCCGTACAGGGAATCCCAACTAAAATAACATCTGTGTCATCTGACAGACAAACGCAGGTCCACATCATGTTCCCTAATACCCAAACTGAACAAGAACCAGTTATTACTGAACTCAACTTTAATTCTGACACATCACAACTTTGTCCTCAGAGTGAGTCAAACTTAACTGTTCCTTTGGTAAATTCTTTTGACAACGTCTTAGATGACATCATTATCAGGCTGTCAAAAATGAACAAGCAGCAAAGGAAAAAATACAAGCGGAGACTATTGCTATCGGAAAATGTATCACAAAGAAAACTCAAAAGAAACACTCAAAAGACAAGAGAAAGATATGCTTCAGATAGAACGTATAGCGCAAAGAAAAAATCGTATTCATGTAAGAAACGTTCTGATGAAGAATTCACTCAAAGAAAACGAGAATATCTTGCCAACCGATACAGAAACAAACCTGAAATACAGCAGAAAAAAAGGAAAAGTATTACCATGAGATATAGAGAAAACATTGATTTCAGACAAAAGCAAAAACTATATATTAAAAGTAGATATGCTGTCGATCTACAATTTAGACTAAAGCAAAAACAAAACATTACTGGGAGATATGCTGTTGATCCTGCATTTCGACTGAAGCAAAAACAAAACATTACTGGGAGATATGCTGTTGATCCTGCATTTCGACTGAAGCAAAAACAAAACATTACTGGCAGATATAGAGACAATATTGATTTCAAGCTGAGGCAGCGATCTTATATCACTCAACGTTATGCCCATGATGAAGCCTTCCGTCTCAAGCACAGAGAACTAATGAGAAAAATAATGCAAAACAGGCACAAGAACAATGTTGCATTCAGGACCATGCATAACATGAGATGTGCCCTGAAAATAACAAGAAAATACAGGCAGATGACTAGACCAACCCATGAGAGTGACAGAGAGAGTGACAATGCTTTGATCAAGGAGGCCATGGTTATTTTCAAGTCTCATATAAAAGCTGGTCCAACGTTCGTGTGCACCGTGTGTCACAAAGCCTCATTTCCAAACCAAGTCAAAACATGCAAGAGGTCAAACTATGTAAAGAATCCTAATGTGGTTGCAGCCTGCCTCACAGGAAAATATGTTCATGTCTGTGACGATGACTGCAGGAGTAGTCGATGCAAAGTGCCCAATGAGAGAAAGGAGGAGTGGATTTGTCACACCTGCCATGATCATCTGAAAAATGGAGCCATGCCCAAACTTGCTGTTGCAAACAACTTGTGGTTGGATGACATACCAACTGAACTGTGTGACCTAAACATTCTGGAGAGACATCTCATAGCAAAGTGCATAGCGTTCGCAAAAATCATTCCTCTTCCTAAAGGTCAACAGAGAGCTATACATGGTAATGTAGTGTGTGTCCCGTCTGAGGTTCAAGAAACGGTCAAGGCTTTGCCCAGATTGAGGAGCGAGTCTCAGGTGTTGAGAGTGAAACTGAAGAGACGTTTGTGTTACAAAGGTCATCAGCTGTTCCAGACTGTAACCTGGTCTAAATTAGTGCAAGCTCTGAAAAAGCTAAAACAGATTCACCCACAGTACGACGATGTCACCATCAGAGATGAGGAGGAGTTATGTGACCCAACACTTGCAGATGATGACGATGATGAATCAATGGATGATGATGATGACTATGATGCAGATGATCTGATGGAAATTAACAGGCTCGAGAGCGATGTGATGTGTGATGGAGATGCCGAAAATGGTCCTGAAAATGAGCAACAAAACAAGACGATGCTTCGTGATGACAATCGGACACAGGAGAACAGTGGTGATGATGACATTGATGGCGACGAGGCACAACAGGAGAGTAACAATAGTGGTGGAATAGTTCTGGAATCATGCCTTCAGCCACGTGATGTTTCAGAGGAGATATTATGTTACAGTGAAGGGATTTACTCTGTAGCACCGGCAGAGGGAAACAGTCCAGTCAGTTTTTTTAAGGAAAAGAACTTGGAGGGAAAAGCTTTTCCTGTTCAGTTTCCAACTGGTCAGAATACCCTGGATGAAAACAGACCTATTAAACTAACACCCAGTGGTTATTTCAAAGCGAGGCTGTTTGGTGTTGATGATCGCTTTGCCAGAGACACAAATTATTTGTTTTTTTGCCCAGTTTGTGACAGAGATATACTTGGCCACTTCCAGCATGTCAATACAGCTGCGCAAAGGAAAACCTTTCACCAGAGACGGACGTAGAATAACGTCGAGAATGCTGAGAGACAAATATGAGGTGGAGAAACTTGTGAGGAACAGGGATGCAATTCGATTCATGCAGCCACTCAGAGGAACACCAGCATACTGGGACAAAACAACCAAAGATCTGTTTGCTATGATCAGACAGCTGGGAATCCCTACGTTCTTTTGCACGTTTTCTGCAGCAGAAATGCGTTGGCCTGAGGTGATTATAGCCATAAAAGCACAGCAGGGTGAGGAAGTGAATTTTGAAGAGCTGGACTGGTCTACCAAGTGTGACATTCTGAGAAGCAATCCTGTGACAACAATGCGCATGTTTGATAAGCGTGTCGAGGCCTGTTTAGAGATTTGATTTTGTCGCCTGCACAACCCCTGGGCAACGTTTTTGACTTTTTCTACGCCTTGAGTTCCAACACAGAGGAAGTCCTCACATACATGGCCTACTATGGGTCGAAGGTGCCCCGTGTTTGAGAAAGACAGTGATCAGACTGTGTGCGAGTTTGTGTCCAAATACATCACTGCTCAGCTACCAGACCCAAATACGCAACCTGAACTGTACAAGATAGTCACAGAAGTCCAAATTCACAGCAAAAGCCACTCAAAGACTTGTTTCAAAGGTGCAAGATCTGGGTGCAGGTTTGGTTTCCCGAAGCAACCGTGCAGAAAGATGATGATAACAAGACCTGCAGATGATGAGGGGTCACTCAGGCTTGAAATGGCAAAGAGAAAACTGGCACCACTGATTCAGCTGCTGAATGAACCTGCAACTGCCTCCCTGAGTTTAGTAGAGGTCCTCGCTCGATGTGATTTAACCAG